TTCAACACTTTAAAGAGGCCTTGTGAAGCAGATGTACCTAATACAATATAACATTTGATTTCTTGACTGCTGCTTCCATGAGTGTTGATGGTTGATCTGAGCAAAATGAAGTCTTTGACAACTTCAATCTTTTCTCCATTTGTATGGATTTTGTTTATTGGTCCAGTAGTGAAAATTTTTGTTTTCTTCACATTAAGATGCAACCCATACTGGAGGCATCTCATCAGTAAGTATTTTAAGTTCCCTTGTCTTTCAGCAAATAAGATTGTATCATCTGAATATTGCAGGTTGTTAATAAGTCTTCTTCCATTCCTGAAGCCATGTTTTTCTTCATATAATCCATCTTCTCAGATTATTTGCTCATCATCCAGATCAAATAAGTATGGTGAAAGGATACAACCCTGGCTCACACCTTTATTAATTTTAAGCTATTCAGTGTTCCATTGTTCTGTTCAAAAAACTGCCTCTTGGTCTATGTACAAGTTCCTCATGAGCAAAATTAAATGTTCAGGAATACTCATTCTCTGCCATGTTGTCCATAGCATGTCATGATCCACACAATCAAATGCTTTTGTGTAGTCAAAGCCCAAGTAAACATCTTTCTGATATTCTCTGCTTTCAGCCAAAATTCATCTGACATCAACAATGATGTTCCTCATTCCACATCATCTTCTTAATCTAGCTTGAACCTCTGGAAGTTGTCTGTCAGTGTACGGTTATGCAGCCACTTTTGCATTATCTTTAGCAAGATTTTAATGTAATATTAATGATACTGTCTGATGATTTCTGTATCCTATTGGGTCACCTCTCTTTAGAATGGGCTCAATGGATCTCTTCAGTCACCTTGCCAGGTAATTGTCTTCCAAATTTCTTGACATAGATGCGTGAGTGTCTCCAATGCCACATCAGGTTTGAAATATTTCAATTTTATGCACCTTGGACTTCTTCCTTCAGTATCATTGGCTCTTGATCATATGCTATCTCTTGAAACGGTTTTACATCTACCCTTTTTTTTTTTGGTACAGTGACTCTATGTATTCCTTCCATCTTCTTTTAATGCTTTCTGCACCCTTCAATATTTTGCCCTTGTTGTTGTTGTTAAGTGCCGTCGAGTCGATTTCGACCCATAACGACCCTGTATAGGATTTCCAAGGAGCAGCTGGTGAGCTTGAACCACCAACTTTGCAGTTCAAACGACTTTTCAGTCTGATGTATTAGCCCACAGCGCCACACCAGGACTCCACTTTGCCCTTACAATTCATGAATATCATAAGTCAAGACTAGATTTTTTTCTCCAATGCCATCAGCTTGAGAAATGCTGAATAGGTTCTTATCTTTTGGTTTTCTCACTCCAGGTCTTTGCACATTTCGTTATAATATTTGACTTTGTCTTCTCGAGCTGACCTTTGAAACTCTCTGCTTAGCTCTTTGACCTCATCACTTTTTCCATTTGTTTATCAATAGATGACATCATCTAGTTATTCTGGTCCAAACCCTAGAAGTTATCCTCAGATCTTTCTTTTTCCACACCCCATATTTAATACTTTAGGAAATCCAGCTGTCTTTGCTTCCAAAACAGATACCCTATCTGCTTTCTCGCCATCTCTACAGCTAAGCCCTGGTGAAAGCTGCCATCCTCTCTCACTGGAATACTACTACAGCCTCCACGTTATTGCCTCTTGCCCACTCAGGGTCAGCCCCTCCTTACTTGACAACCAGCACAATCATTCTAAAGCTCAAATCAGATCATATCACTTCTCTCCTTAAAAGCCTCTGTTGACTCCTTCATCACATGTAGAATAAGATTCAAAGTCCACCTCATAACCTGTCTGTTCTCTGTCTACCTGTTGGAACCTCATCTTCTTCTTCTCTTCTCCTAGGTCTCTACACTTCAGTCACAGTAAACAGCTGACTGCCCCTCTACCATGCCAAACTCTTTCCTTCCTGAGGTCTTTCCCATGCTGTTCCTCCTGCTGGGGATGCTCTTCCACAGATCTAGCACAACCAACTCTTCCTCATCACTCAGGTCTCAACTCAAATGTACGTTCCTTGGATGACCCTCTACAACTGCAGCTAGAGAACCTCTGCTGGTCATTTTCTCCTCTGTGAACCCTACTTAACTTTCTCCATAACATTTTTTTTTTTTCATCTAAAAGAAGATGCTAAAGCATCTGATTTTGTTTGCCAGTGTCTACTCACTAAACTGTGAGCTTCTTGGGGACTAGCTCATTCCAGTATCTGCAGCATTTAGTACAAGCCTGGCCCATAGTATGCCCCAGTTTGAACTGATTGTCTACACCAAATAAGTATATTTGATGAAAAGGGGTCAAGAGTCAGGCATGAGGTATGTCATGGAACACTGATGAGTGATGAGTCTCGTGTATCATTCCAGTTTCATAGGTATCCTGTAGATGAGTGAGGTAAGGAGGACTGACCTCAGGCTGCTGCAAAAACCAGTTTCTAATTGTAGAAATAAGAGTTGCAAGGGAGCCTAGAGAACAACTCCAGTACTAATAGCATATTACTTAACAACAACACTTGCTGAGCCCATGCCCTATGCCAAGCAAGTGAAAGCACTTTATTAGTCAACTCATCCCATGTTCACAATGCCCCTTGTGGTGGGAACTATCATCATTACCCCCATTCCTCAGCTGATGCATTGGGGACAGAGAGAAGTTAAGTAAATCCAACAAGAAAACATTGCTGGTATATGATGAAGGTGTCGCTCAGATCCTGGTATTCTGAATCGATTCTGTGACTTCAGCTACCACGCCATGTTGTCTAATAGGATGGTTCCCAAACTTTAGTTGCTGCTTTACTAGCATCATGAATATTATCCATATTCACATGCCATTTTTGAACACTTTTTCAATAGATTGACTTTTTATAGAGAGAATTATTTTTAAAGGAAACTGAAGTGGCTTTCTGGACGCATTGGCTCAGCAAGGTTATATGACAAGTCAAGAGCATTCAGCCAGAATCAGAACCAGGATACTTGATCATTTTGCCTGTGCATTCTTGTACCACTCACTGGGGTGGCACTCAGGGCACAGAATTTAAGGAGGTTCTCATTCTCAGATATGCAACTTGCAACTTGCACAGCCTCAAGAGTGAGTATTTCCATAAGTCTTGTGTTCTAGGCAACTTACTTCCCTCATTCTTGTCTTGAACCTGTCTCCCACCAGCCTAGTGCAGCCTCAGAAACTCACCTGGTGCCATTTCCTCTGTGCGCTCTACACAAACTCAGGGATCAAATGTAGCATTATTTCTTTTATTTTGTTTAATTAATCTCTCAGGTACTACCTGGCCTTTCAATAGCAAATCTGAAACCCCTGGATTTTCCAAAGTGTCAGGACTGTAGTCATGACAGGGGTTCAGACCTTTGTGGAAAGCCAAGCAAGTCTCATCCATCCCTCCTACCACTGCTCGTTGCTGCCACATGATGTTGCCGAGGAAGCTTGGTTCTACCCAGGTCAACAGGTACAGCTCCAGCTTCTCTTTGAGGGAGAATGAACCTCCTCTCATGATACTGAACCCAGGGTTTCCAGATCTCATCTTTTTGAATTCACAGCCACCTCCTCAGCCATCATGGCCAAAGTCTGCTCCCCCTCCCACCATACCAGGTTGTCTGCATCAGGAGGGTGTTTTGTCTCTCTGATAGCATCTCCTTGCCCTCAATCGAAGCCATGCTGTCCTTGTGTTGAACCCAGACTCCCTTTCTTCAAGGTGATTTCACGCCTGAGGTTTTGTTTCTCCTTCCAGCCAGGGCTGTGCCCATGTATCCACCAGGGCTCACTCATTCCACATCTCGGTAAGCAGCTGTTCCCTTGATCCCGAAGGGTGGGGAATCCTTGTGCACCCCGATCTACTTTACTGCAGTAATCAGTTTTGCCTCTGTCAAGGAGCTTCGATGGAATCAGGAATGGGTCACACCTGTTCTTCCAGAATTTTGTGTGTACACTTGGCTTATATTTACATAATCAAGAGGGCCACTCAAGTGTCACTGAATGTAGAAAGCTAGCAACTCTCGATTGTGAAAAAAATAAAACAAATGGAACCTCACACTACTCATTTCAAATTAGTAACTCAGTGACCAGAAACCCAAACCACCATCTCCAAAGTCACACAGTCTTGAGTCTGATTCATCTCCCTTGATCTTTTCAAATCTTGCTCATCCCCTTGTGAGTGATGCTTCAGATAGCTCAACCCTTAGGCCCTGCCTAAGACTAATCCTTCTGTTTCCTCTTCTTGATCCACAGATGCAATTTCCAGTGTCATGTCTGGACTGAAGAATGAGGCCCTCGTGAAGAAGGAACTGCTGTATGTTGTGGCTGGGCATGAAAAATACCAGATTAATAACAAGGATTACGACAAGTACCGGATGTTACATTTCAGCCTTATCATGAGACAGGTGGAGGAGCTCGTGGGGAAGAAGGTGCCCTACAATATTGTCACTAAAAATAGCCTGGACTTTGTGAAAGAGCTTCGCTATGGAATCACCTGGGCTTGCCAGGTTCGTTCTCAGCCTGTGTACCTGTCTCTAGAAATCAGACCTTTCCCTCAACTGACAGTGGCTGGAACTTCTGCTTTGGGCTAGGCCAGGTGGAGCGAGAGGAATGGACAATAGTAGAGATGCAATTTTCATGGTCTCATACTTCCATCAATGGTAAACCTCTCCTGGGTTTCTGTTTTACCTTGAGCCCTTTCCTCTTCTGTCTTTCCTTGCAGGGGCCATATGTAACTCTGAGTGAGGGGAACAAGGGGCAGACTAACTATGAAGGAAGAGATGAGCTTTCTGTTTCCTAGCAATTGTAATTCTGAAAACAAAATGAGGGCCTTGGGTTTGTGTGGTAATGAAACTGAGTTAGACCAGCACTGGCATAGGTATATACCCATGTATAGATCTGTGTGCCCAGCAGTGAATCATCACAGATCAGTGTTCTGCCTCACTTGAGTAGTGCTGTGCTGTCAGCCTCAAGGTGAGTGCTGGCTGTCTTGTCATGCTTTTATTCAACACTGTCTTCACCCTGCTCAAATGCAAGGTCAGTCCTAGAGATCCAAGCAAATGCAGTTTTATTCATTTACTTAATTTAATTTTTGATCATTGATTTAGTATTATCCCTCTCTCTTTGAATTGTTTTCCTAGATAATGGACTTCCATCCCAGTCTCTCTCACTTAACACACTTTTCTTGAGTCAATGGTGTTTGATAACTTTTTTTTTAATCTTAGATATTTGGTGATGCTAAAAGTGTGATTATATTTTTCAACGAACAGTTATGATTAAATCAACCAGGACATTAAGAGTTATATTTGAGAACTAGTCCTTTCTTCCTTGGTCAGTGTGGTAGTCAAGAGTGGTCTCCTGGAACTAAGCATGGACTTATCCTAGGATCTGCCTCTTGCAAACTATGGAAATTTGGGAAAGGTATTCAAATGTACCCATGACTCATCTGTCAGTTTGTCATACTGTGGTGGCTTGCGAGTTGTTGTGATTCTGAAAACTATGCCACCCGTATTTTAAATACCAGTAGGGTCACCCATGGTGGACAGGTTTCAGATGAGCTTTCAGACAAAGACAGACTAGGAAAAAGGAGAGATGAACTACTTCTGATGCTACATTCTTCATCATATAATCCAGTTTGTTGGATTATTTGCTTAGCATATAGATTGATTAAGTATGGAGAAAGAATATAATCCTAGTACACACCTTTCCTGATTTTAAACCATTCAGTGTCCCCTTGTTCTGTTCTAACAACTGCTGTATACAGGTCTATATACAGGTTCCTCATGAGTGCAATTGTTTTGGAATACGAATTATTCGCATTATCCATATCCTGTCTTGATCCACACAGTCAAAAGCCTTCACATGGTCAATAAAGCACAAGTAGACATCTTTCTAGTATTCTCTGCTTTCACTCAAGATCCATCTGACATCAGCAATGATATTCCTAGTTCCATGTCCTTTACTGAATCTGACTTGAATTTCTGCCAGTTCTCTGCCCACGTATTGTTGCATTTTTTTTTCCAATTAGCATAAGCAAAATTTTACTTGTATGTGATATTAATGATATTGTTCAATGATTTCTACATCCCACTGGGTCATCCTTCTTTGGAATGGTCACAAATAATGATCTCTTTCAATGGGTTGACCAAGTAGCGGTCTTCTAAATTTCTTGGCATAGATGAGGGAGCAGCTTTAGTGCTGCATATTTTGTTCAATGATTTCCATTCTTATTTCATAAATTACTGGCATCTTGATTTTTGCCAATGCCTTCTATGGACTTCTTCTTTCAGTACCATTGGCTGTTGTTGGCCATATACTACTTCTTTGTTGTTGTGAAGTGCCATCGAGTCAGTTCTGACTCATAGCAACCCTAGATAGGGTTTCCAAAGAGCAGCTGGTGGGTTTGAACCAATGACCTTGTGGTTCACAGTCCGGTGGTGACACTATGCGCCACATCAGGAGTCCATAGAATCCTTAAATATTGCAAGTTGAGACTTGATTTGCTTCAGTTCTTTCAGCTTGAGAGATGCTGAGTGTGTTCTTCCATTTGGGGATTCTAAAATTCCAGGTCTTTGCCCATTTCATTATGCTACTGGACTTGGTCTTCTCGAGCTGCGCTTTGAAATTTTCTGTTCAGTTTAACAGTGACAATATCCGCATAAAAAAAGGAAACTACACGCTGCGAACAATCTGATTTTATCCATGGCGAAACCCCAGAAGAATTCAGGCCTTCACCCATACATGGTTTACACTGCATTCCGATCTCCATACTCCTGGTTGTGCAACAGCTAAGCGCTTGACAGTTAACCAAAATGTTGGCAGTTTAAACACAGCAATGTCCCTGGGGTAGAATAGACTTGGCAATCTGCTCCCATAAAGATTGTAGCCTAGGAAACCCTATGGGGCTGTTCTGCTCTTTCATGAAGGGTCCTTATGAGTCATAATCAACCCAAAGGGATACAACAACAACATCCACCAGCCCCAACTTTGATTACCATACAAGCTTGGGAAGCACCAAGATATTCTAAGAAATTTAGGGCCCTGTCCTAGTAAGAACAATATATGAGAGGGCTTCAAAAAGTTCATGGAAATGTGAAATTAAAACATAATGTATTTGGGGAGAGTTTTTGTATTGTGAATTTGTGAAGGCTTACAGAGCAGTTTTCCATTCAACAATTAATACACATTTTGATTCATCTCCCTGATTACAATCCCCACAATGCAACATCACTTATCCTACTTGCTCAAGGGTTTCCCGTTTCCATGCCTCCTTCTTTCCTAACCCTTTTGAACTTCCAATCACTGCTAACAGCCCTGTTCTTGGTTTTGCAGCCAAAGCTGAAGGCTGGAGACCTGATTGAGATTTTTCGCTCTGTCTACAGACACTGGGCCCTCTATGTTGGTTATGGATATGTGATCCACTTGACCAACCCAAGTAAGGACAACTGTGCTGGAGGGATATTGGGGAGCTGTGGGTAAGCAAGTGACCCTAACATTCTCTCTGCTTCTGAATATTAAACGAATTCCACAGTTTGTTGGCAGTGGTTTTCAAATGAGCGCCTTGGAGCCCCAGGCATTTTGTAGAGGAGCTGAGTTGGGCATCCAATGGGATAGCTCTGCTTCTCCATGTTTCATATTATGACTTAGTATAAAACAACTAAAACTCTTTCCAGGTGCAAAACCCATGGAAAAGACACAGGTGTTTAAGTAGAAAGACTTGGTTACTTATCCAGTTTCTACCTTCCATTCTTGGTTTGCTTGCCTGCTAAAAATATGTAACTTGGAGAATTTTTCTTAGCATAAATATTGTGAAGTGCAGAAATATAATAAGGTCAGTAAATTTTTAGAAATCCATCCATCCTTGTAATGATTACTGAGATTTAGATACAGGACCCCCAAAAGGTTCCTTCATGCCTGCCTCTTCAATGACCCCTTTCCTCCCCAAAGGCAGCCACTACCTTAACTTCTTGCACCATAGATTAGTTTTACCTGATCTAGAACTTCATGTAGGAGGACTCACACAGTCTGCTCATTTATATCTGCTTCTTTCACTGAGCATCATGCCTGTGTATCATTCTTGTCATTGCATCTAACAGTGGTGGTGGTGGTGGTTATGTGCCATGGGGTCAGTTCTGACTCATAGTGACAGAGCATAGGGTTTCCTGAACTGTCAATCTTTATGGGAGCAGAACGCCCCATCTTTCTTCCACGGAACGACTGGTAGTTTTGAACTGCTGATCGTGAGGTTAGCAGCCTGACTTGTAATCACTGCGCTACCAAAGTAGTCCTTACTTTTTCATTTCAAATTCTCTTCCGCTGATACACATTCGTCACAATTTGACATTCATTCTTGCAAATTGTTTCCAGTGTTAGGGTGCTACGAATAAAGCTGTTATGGACATTGTTTTACATGTATTTTGCTTACTTTCTACATTTAACCTCACAAACTATTTAATCGAGAAACCAGAAGTAACCAGAGTTGATCTCATCACTTCCACCACCAGTTAATCAACAGCTACGGACACAACAAAATCTGTCTTGTCTTTTCTTAAAAACGTGCTCTTGCCTCAATCTAAAAGCCAGTCCTTACCTGCTGGTGCTGAGTTGGTTCCTTTGACTTTCATAAACATTTTGCTCCTCAAGAACCATAGCCAATCTCCATTATCATTACTGTCCTTCCTATTTAGTGCCTCCTATTTGAATAGGAACATTTGTAAACGCTCCTTGTGATAAAACAAACACACATACCTCTAGACCTCAAATGGGTTTGCTTTTCCTCTTCTCTCATACTCTTAATAGGGCTTAGGACTCACTTTCCACAGATGACCTCCCTGGGTACCCAGGCTTCTAAAACCTTCTATTCACTGATGTCTCCTAAGCCCATACCCACATTCAGCTTGAGCCTCTTAGCTCTGCTTCAGGTCTTATAACTTGACTACTTGGCATCTCCCTGTGAGTATCTAACCAACATCTTGAGCATGACATGCCCAAAATGAAAGGTCTGGTGACATCCAGCCTGAACCCACTCTCCCCTCTTTCCCTGTCTTCTCCTTTCAATAGCTGGCGTCCAGTAACTCTGGCCCAAAGCCTGGGAGTTATCTTCAGATCTTATCCTTTCCACCCTATATTGAATCCTTTAGGAAATCCTGTTGACTACTTCCAAAACGGACCCCAGATCTGCCTTCTCACTATCTCTGCAGCTAAGCCCTGGTGAAAACTGCCATCCTGTCTCATGGGAATACTACCACAGGCTCTCCCTCATCTCCCTGCCTCTTGTCCACTCAGGGTCAGTTCTTTCTTACTGGGCAACCAGCACATTCATTCTAAAGAGTAAATCAGATCATAGCACTCCTGTCCATAAAAGTGTCAGTTGAATCTTTCATTACATATAGAAGAGGATTCTAAGTCCATCTTCCTGAACTTGGGGAGCTATGGTGACCTGGTTTCTGTCTGTGTCTTGGAAACTCATCTACTTCTTCTCTTTTCTTGAGTCTCTAGACTTCAGTGACAGTTGCCTCCTGGCTGCACCTCTACCATGCCAAGTTCTTTTCTTCCCTAGGACATTTCCTTCTGCTGGGAATACTCTTTCCTTGATATTGACACAAGTGTCTCATCCTTCTTATTCAGTTCTCAACTCAAATGTTCATTACTCCACTGGCCCTTCCCAACCCAAGCTAGAGAGCACTCTGTTAGTCATCCCTTCTTCTGGGATTCCACATAACCTTCTCCATGTTGTTGTTGTTGTTATGTGCCATAGAGTCGTTTCCGACCCATAGCGACCCTGTATAGGGTTTCCGAGGGTGTAAATCTTTACGGGAGTAGAAAGCCTCATCTTTCTCCCGCGGTGCAGCTGGTAGTTTCGAACCGCTGACCTTAAGGTTGGCAGCCCAATTCGTAACCACTACGCTACCAGAGCTCCTTCTCCATAGCATTTTTTAAATCTGAAAGAAAATATTTGGTGGTTCTTTTTCTTTGTCCACTCATTCCAGTACTAATTGCAGGTACCTGGTGTGGCACTGGACTGTAAATGCAAAGTCGTCAGTTCAAATCCAGCAGCCACTTCTCAGAAACCATATACAGGGTCACTTTGAGTCAGTACCAACTTTATGGCCCTGAAAAGCGACAGCAATACTTGCTGAGCACTTTCCCTGTTCCAGGGATTTAAAGCACTTTGTATAACCAAAGCATAACTTTGGTATAACTCCTACAATTCTCACAGCACCTTTTGTGGTGGGAACTGCTATTCCTATTTTTCAGCTGAAGCATTGGGGACTCAGAGAAATTAAGTAACTTGCCCAAAGATATATCACTCCTATATGGTGAAGATGGGACTCACATCCTAGCAGTCCAAGTTTTGATTCTGTGATTTTGAACCTATGCTGCCCAGTAAGATGCTTCCCAAAATTTAGTCATTGCTTTTGAAACACTACAATTTTTTTAAAAAACAAAGCATATCTATAGTCCATTTCTACGATTGCTTGCTTAACATTTTCTTTAATAGATTACCTTTTTAACTTAGGACATTATTTTTTAAAAGAGCTTGATGTTGTTGGTGGTGTATGCCCTTGAATCCATTCAGATTCATAGCAACCCTGTATAGCGTTTGTGAGAGCAGGTGGTAGGTTTAATACAGTTCAGTGCTGTATCCATTTTAGTGTGTATTTGAGATCTCTCTGGTAGCATAGTGGTTACGAATCGGACTGCTAACCTCAGGGTCAGCAGTTCGAAACTACCAGCTGTTCCACGAGAGAAAGATGAGGCTTTCTGCTCCTGTAAAGATTTACAGCCTTGGAAACACTGTACAGGGTCGCTATGGGTCAGAACCAACTCCACAGCACATAACAATACCACCAACAACAGCATTAGTTCAGCAAGGTTAAGTGACAGGTCAAGAGCACTCAGTTAGAGTCAGAACCAGAATTTCTAACCTTTGTGCCTACACAGCCTTGTAAGGCCCTTGAAGGGTGACCCACAGGGTGCAGGTGGACCCTGCACTTATACAAGTTCAAGAGTGAATCCCTCCTTAAATCTTGTGCTCTAGACCTTGCTTGCCTTACTCTTTTCCTGTTTCTGCCATCTGATTTAGTGGGGATGGGGGAGGCAGGGGGAAGGAGTGGAGGTTGAACCTAACTGGACCTCAAGAGCTAGCATGATCCCATTCCTTTTGTGCCCACACTGGCACATGCTCCATAAACTCCGGTTTCAAATATGGCGCCATCTCCTATCCTATCTCAGTGACTGTCTCAGGCACCACCTAGCCTCTTATTAGCAAGAATGACCCCATAGATTTTCCAAAGGCTCAGGATCCTCTTCGGGACAAAGGGCTCAATCCTCTTCAGAAGATAAACAGAGAAGGACCTGGAGTCTTATCAGCCCCTCCTGACATTGGTTGTTGTTGCCACATGATTTCCCATGATCCTCCTCAAGTCAACAGGTACAATCACAACTGCTCTTTGAGGGAGAATGAGTCTCCTCTCATGATAGCAATACCGAGCCCAGGGCTCATGGTTCCACCTATTGAATTCACCATCACCTGCTCAGTCATTGTGTCCAAAACATGCTCCCTCCATCCCTCCATACTAGGTAGGCTGGTGTGGGAAGGTGCTTCATCTCAATACGGGCATCAGCTCTCCCTAGCAGTCATCCTATCTTCAGACTCTCCTTCTTCAAGGTGATTTCATTTCTGAAGCTTTGTCACTTCTAGCAATGGTTATGCCCATGTACCCCTTGGAGTTCATCATTTCACATCTCTATAGGCAGCTGGGGGACTGGATCCTTTGCTCCCAGAAGAGTGGGGAATCCTTGTATCTCTGTCCACTTTCTCTGCATAATCAACTTTGCGTAGGTCAAGGAGCTATATAGCCTCTTTGGAATGGGTCTTCTCTGTTCCTCCAGAATTTTCTATGTGTACTTGGCCTATACGGAACTCTGGTAACGTGGTGTTTATGAGTCGGGATGCTAATGTCATGGTCAGCAGTTCAAAACTACCAGCCATTCCATGGGAGAAAGATGAGGCTTTCTGCTCCCGTAAAGATTTGCAGCCTCAGAAATCTTCTACAGGGTCACTAGGAGTCAGATAGGACTCCATGGCACATAACCACCAACACCAACATCACTTGGCCTATATTTGCATACTCAAAAGGACCAGTCAGGTATCACCATATGTAGATGGTCACCTTCTCTGTGGTATGAAAAAAAATTGTTACAAATCATGGGACATCACATATCTCATTTCAGATTAGACCCCAGGGACCAGAAATCACAAACACCCAAAGTCACAGAGCTGTGGAGCTTCCCCATCTCCCTTGACCTTTCCACATCTTACTCATCTCCTTGTGGATGGTGCTGGGCCAGCTCGGCCCCTGTGGCTCTGACCGGACCAATCCCTGTGTTTCCTCTTTGTTACTCCCCAGGTGAAGTTGCTGGAGCTGGTCTGAGCAGTGTCAGTTCTGTTACAGCAAGTAAGGGCATCGTGAAGAGGGAACTGCTGTATGTTGTGGCCGGGAGTGACAAGTACCGGATCAATAACAAACATGATGACGCGTACCCAGTGCTGCCTCTCAGTGAATTCATCCTGCAGGCAGAATTGATGGTGGGGAAGGAAATACCCTACAAGCTGATGAGTAATAACTGCGAGCACTTTGTGAACTATCTCCGCTACGGAATTGCAGTGACCAGGTGCGTTCTCAGCCTGTGTCCCTATTTGCAGGGATTAGATCTTCCTCTCAGCTGAGATTGGCTGGCCCTTTGCTATGAACTGGGCTACGGTGGAGATAGAGGAAGGGACAAGGTCATAAAGTTGTGGTTGTTGTTAAGGGTCATCAAGTGGGTTCCAACTCATAGCAACCCTGTATAGTGTTTCCAAGGAATAGCTAATGGGTTTGAAGTGCCGACCTATGGTAAACAGTCTAGTGTGTCTTCTACAGCGCTCGTCTCACATCTCCATGAATGGTAAGCCACCTGTGCTGGATTTCTCACTAGCCTCTGAGTCCTTTCTCCTCTGCCTTTCCTTGTCTGAGCACCTGAAGCCCTGAGTGGGGAGAACAAAGGTCATACCAACAATAGTGGAGAGATGAGTTTGTTGTTTCTTAGCACTTGTTACTCTGAAAACAAAATGATGCTCTTGGGTTTGGGTGGTGGCGATGCTGAGTTAGACCAGCCTTGCATATGTATGTACGCTTATACTGATGACCCGTGTGCCCAGTAGTGAGTCATCACAGACTGGTGCATTGCCTCATTTGAGCAGAGCTGGGGTGTCAGCCTAAGAAAGGGTGGAGGCTGACTTGTCATGCTGACATAAGACACGGTCCTCATCCTGCTGAATTGCAAAGGTCGGTGCAGGGGACCCAGAAGATGCCATTTCGTTTGTTTACTTCAATCGATTTTTGATCATCTATTTAGTATCGCATTGCTTTTCTCCTGGATAAACAGACTCCCATTCCATTCTCTCTCACTTCCATGCTTTTTGAAAGGAGGTGGAGTTGAGGGGAGAGTTGAGAACATATTCTGGAAAAGTGTTTAGATGCTTGTTGATGCAAAAGACTGTGGTTTTATTTTTCAATGAAAATCTGCCAGGTCTTAAATTTTTACATTTGAGAAATTATCTCTTCTTTCTTAGTCAGTGTGGCAAGCAGTGTGGACTCCTGGAATCATGCATGGACTTATTCTAGGTCTTTCCTCTTCCTAGTTAAATGACTTTGGGACAGTTATTCAAACTTCGTAAACCTTGGTAAAGTACCAAGCTAATACTGACATCAGAGGATTAATGCTTAAATTAAATAAGAGCACACTTATGCTTAACACAGTATCAACTAAGAAAATGCACTTAATATATTGTAGTGATAGTTGTTGTTAGGTGCCATCAAGTCGGTACTGACTCATAGCGACCTTATGCACAGCAGAACGAAACACTGCCCGACCCTGGGCCAACCTCACTATTGTTGCCACATTTGAGTCCATCGATGCTGCCACTTGGCCAGTCCATCTCGTTGGGGGTCTTCCTCGTTTCCTCTGACCCTCCACCTTACCAAACATGATATCCTTCTCCAACGACTACTCCCTCCTGACATGCCCAAAGTATGAGAGACAAAGTTTGGCCATCTTGGTCTCCAAGGAGCACTCTGGCTGCACTTCTTCCAAA